TTTTTCGAGACAGGGTTTCTCTGTATAGCTTTGCGCCTTTCCTGGAACTCACTTGGTAGCCCAGGCTGGCCTCGAACTCACAGAGATCCGCCTGCCTCTGCCTCCCAAGTGCTGGGATTAAAGGCGTGCGCCACCACCGCCCGGCATTGAATCCCTATCTTTAAGGTGGGAAGATACACCTTTAATTCAGATCTTTGGAGGTGGGAGGATCCACCTTTAATCTGGGCCACACCTTCTGCTGGCAGCCTATATAAAGAATGTGGGAAGACCTAAGCTACTGTGGGTGACACCATTCCCTGGGTTGAGGTCTTGGACTCTAAGAGTGGAAAGGGTGAGCTGGGTACTAAGCCATGCATGCATTCAACTTCTCTCTGCTTTTGATTGTGGATGTAACAGCTTCTTCAGGTTCCTGCCTTGACTTCCCCACAATGACAGACTATAACCTGGGCTGGTGAGCTAAAAACAAACCCTTTTCTTCCCTACATTGGTTTTTTGTTTTGTTGTTGTTGTTGTTGTTGGTGGTGGTGGTGGTGGTGGTGGTCAGGATGTCTTATCACAGCAACAGAATGAGGCTATGACAACTGCATTGGAATTCACATGGATATGATGGAGACCCACAGGTGGCTGTGATGGGGAAGGAAAACACACGCCCAGGGAAGTACCCCAAAGGGAAGCACACAGCCTGAGCTCTGGATCTCTACTGGCCATGTCACTGCATTCTGAGGGCCAGCTTTCCGCTGGAGAAAGCCACATTAAAGGAACAGGTGATTTCTGAGTGGAAAAGACAAAGTACCATGGGTTCTGCCAGCCAGAGGAAATTGGAAGAGTGAAGGAGAAACATCAGATCAAAAGGCAAGTTAAGCCATCACAAGGACCATGGGTCCTCGGCATCCAGAGTCCAGATCCATGTACTCAACCAGGCACAGATTAGACATAGTCAGAAAGAAGATGTCTGTACAAAGAACATAGACTTTTTTTCACACCAAACAAGACAGTACAGCAACTATTGATAGTGTACAGACATTCTATCAGATAGAGTAAGTAACACAGAGGCGGTCACAAACACGCAGAAGGGTATGTGTAAATTATATGCAAATCCTCCTGGGATCTTGTCCATCTCCTCCGAGGCACTGTAGCCAAACATCCCAAAGATAATGAGCTGCAAATGTAGTATTGTCAAATGGGCAGAAATCACCATTAGCCAACCCCACTATTCTGACACAATATCCACCCATGTGCTTACAAAGCACTTTATTATGACATCTGAAAATTTGCCGTGTCTAAAGATAGTTCAGTCCTCAACAGGAAGTGATGAAGTTATATCTCACAACCCACCAAGAACCACAGCAAAAGCCCAAGACATATTAGAGATATTTCATCAAACATGAAAACTACCCAGTGCTGGAAGTTGATACCATGACTGCTTCTTTGAACTGGAGAAGATGACTTCCCGAAGGGAATCATTATTTTCTGCCTATGAGTGGTAGTTTCCTGTCTGCTGGAGCCACAGAGGAGTCTATAAATGCCAGAGACCAGGTAGAATATCCCTGTGCTCTCGTTTTTCCTTCTAGAAATATCTAAAAAGCAAAGCAAGAATGCTGCATCACCTGTCATAATTGGACAAAGCCATCAAGAAATGAGCAGCCACCAAAGACTCCGACACCAAAAGAATCAGAAAAATAGTATTTGTATTTTGCTCTCAAACATTTCCTGCTTTCTTCCTTTTCATTTTGAGGAAGACTTTTACCAAACGGAGTACGTCTACTCTGAGGTCTGAGTAGCACACTGTTCTGTGATTCGCCCCTCCTGGAAAGCTGTTAGTGGGAAGCAATTACCCCAAATGGACCTGTGTACCTGAGAGAGCTCTGGGGCTCATTTGCTGCCAGTATTCTAGAAGCAAGAAAGCAACTCCAACTCTCCAGAAGCCAGCGTCTGTACCCAGTTTCTTAACTGATGTCTTCAGGGCCCGATAAAAGATCAGATGCAGCATGAGGCATTGCCAAGGCATTACCAGGAGACGTCCTCATTCATCCTGAAGGAAATGGGGGTAGTTTCAAGATTCTCATGTCCCTCAGACAACAAATAGTTCACTTTGGAAGAGCTGGGTGTAGTCTGAAGGAACGATCCCCAACAATACAGAGAAACCAGCACATCTCTCAAGTCCTAGAACGTTTTTTAGGTTTGGAGTTTTGTTTTGTTTTTTAGATAAAGGTTTAGAGAGAGATGGCCTGGCAGTTAAGAGCACTTTCAGCCCTTGCTGACGTCTACTTTGAGTGGTTCACAACTGCCTGTAATGCTAGCTCCAGGGTATCTGATGCCCTCATCTGGCCTCTATAGGTACAATACTCATGTGCATAATACACCACCACCACCACCACACACACACACACACACACAAACATACTTTTAAAAACATTTTTTAAGTAAAAGCTTTCTATAACTCCTAGGCAACATTTTCTTTTCATATCCATGTAGTGCTGTATCAAGACTGTTAAACTCCCTGACTGAAAAGAATAAATTTAAAAAAAAAATCTATAAATATAACCCATGGCATGAGTACTAAAACTCAATAGAAAGCACACAATCAAAATAACACAACCATTGGAGAATGTTCAAATGTTTATTTCCATGTTAAAAATGATGAGTTACCCTGTGGTTAGAATATACCTTTATGCTGAAAAATGAAGTCATTTTATTTCTGAAATATTTCCAGTTGGGGAGGGAGGAAAAAATTCAGAACGTAACGAAGAGTAAGATCAAAATGTTCTGGAAGATTTCACCAACAATCCCAGCATGAGCCACAATGTCCTTTCCAGGTCAGAATTCCTAATTGGGTGTGTTTTTCAATGTCAGGCCCCAATGCTTTTCCCATCATCCATTTAAATATGGTTGAGCTGGATGTCTGTACACTTAAAAGCTGTTTCACATGCTTTTATTTTTAAATGTATTTATTCCAGTACACCATTCACAGTTTCATTATATTGCCTATATTACATACAAAAATATCTGCTGTCTGTATTTCAGCAAAACTTTGTCCCACCATCCACTCTCTACATGACAGATGAGATGCATTACATTATACGGATACGGTTTTGATGGAGAAGAAAGGTGTGATTCATAAACTATCTATGGTGTCATTTACAAAGACCTGAATGGAGAAATGTGACTCTCTTTAGATGACCAGAGTAGAAAACCCAATGGGCTGAAGATAGGACTTGGAATCACTGCCTGTGGTCACTGTTTGGGGACCAGGGGATTCCTCACTGATGGACACAGCTTCATTGTGGTCTCAACACCCTCCCTGTCTCCCTTCCTGTCTCCCTCCCTGCCTCCCTCCCTCTCTCTCTCTCTCTCTCTCTCTCTGTCTCTCTCTGTCTCTGTCTCTGTCTCTGTCTCTGTCTCTCTCTCTCTATGAATGCATGGAAGCATGTATGTAGACCAGAAGTCAACCTCAGATGACATTCCTCAGATGACATCCCTCAGGCATCATCTACCTTCATGTTGAGACAGGGTCTCTGACTGGGATCTGGAACTTGCCTATTAGGCAAGGGTGGCTGGAAAGGAAGTCTCAGGTGCTTGTCTGTCCCCACCTCCCCCATGCTGGGATTATAAGCATATACCAACATGCCTGGATTTTTATGTGGGTGCTGAAGGGTCGAATTCCAGCCCTCAGGCTTGTGCAGCAAACTTTACCAAGTGAGCTCTCTCTGTTTCTCTCTCTCTCTCTCTCTCTCTCTCTCTCTCTCTCTCTCTCTCTCTCTCTCTCCAGCCCTGATAAGAGTAAACAAAAAAATGTTGATCAGAATACCAAATGTGGCTTCCTAAACCTTAAATAAGTGAGTTACAAAATACTTCCACCCATAGGTGTGGCCAAGGGGTAAAATAAAATCAGTGTGTGTCTTGGCCGTATTGGTGTCTATAAATAGAAATGTTCTGCCTAGACAGCTAAGAATTGCCATAGTCTGGGAATGTGCCCTGGCCAGTGTACCAAGCAGACAGTTTTCTAACATTAGTTAGATGTTGCTCTCTGGCCAAAGCTCCCAATTGTACTTATGAGTCTCTCAGATCTAGCACACCTACCGTTCAGCTCCAGTTCTTTGGTGTGGCCACCTGCCTCATGAGTCCCTATGCCTTGAGCCCAAAAGTACCACATGCAAATTCTGAAGACAGTGGCATCATGGTCTTTGAATGTCCTGGGTGGTCACACTACCAGGTGTCCATCTCATGTCTCAACCTCTGTGTGGCCAGAGAGCTTATAGCCTGCCACTCTCTCGTGACTCCCCCAGGATGAATCTGAGCATCAATATCACTCTTGTGGCAGAGCAAGGGACTTGATAATGTGTGTCTGGATCAGGTTAAATAATCATAGATATATATAAAATAAATACGTCAAGTTATAATTTGGATCTCTCAGCCATGAAAACTGAAGTCCAGGCAAGTGCATGGATTTTAAGGCTTGACGGTTTATGCCATCTCCCCCTTTCTAGTTCAGGTGTTTTAGGAGCTAGCACAAACATCATAGCTGACTTGATGGAAAAATCAGGTGAGATAGCCACAGTTTATGATCTGCATGATATATTTAGAGCATAAGATGCTCCCATGACACTGTGATGCTGAAACCTGTCCAAACCAAATCTAAGAATGACTGGCAGGTTCTTTTGATTCCTACCAAATGACTGAGTTTGTAACTCCTTGGTATTCACACACACAGAGAGAGATGTGGATACTCGTGCATATGTATGTATGTATGTATATAACTGTGTGTCACATGTTGTAAAGGTCATTTCCCTCAGAACCTGCCACTTGACTTTGTTTTGAACAGACAGTGTCCTAACACAAAGACATGGTAAAATGTGCACTGAGGCGAATTTACTGCGTGTGTCTAAGAGGCCCCTGGAGGCATCTTCAGCACCATGGCCAGCTCCTCCCCGCCCACTTCAAGCCTGTCAATCACAGGAAATCCTTACTTAGGCTGCCCTTGGGAGTTTCCTGCTAAGCTATAAGCAAGCCTGGGGCCTCACCTAACCAATAGGAGGCAGCCTGCTTTGTGTGCCCTTGTCTCCAGACGGGTGCCTCACCATCGATTCCCGTTATTTCTGTGATGGGAGATAGGATTTTAAATGGCTCATGAAAGGAGACACACTTATCTGCAACTCTGCTGCCCTGTGCGGGTGGTGTGGGTCTACCTGCCCCCACCCAGTCCAACCTTTCCAGAAGCAGCCAGCTAACTAGAGACCTCTTAGCAGCAGCAGATGTCAGCCAAGGTTATGCAATGCCTTCATCTCCTGGCTTCAGTCTCTGGTGGAAGGTTTTGAGAACCCCAGTAGCTCCAGTTCTTAGAAGTCATTCTAAACACAGAAGCAAGTGAATTCTAGTTCTGGAGGCTGAAGCCCGTGACCTACATGCCCAACCCTGTTTGTAAACACATTGCAATGCTGGGCGTGGGAGAGGCAGGGAGAGTGTCCTAGCTGTCCTGTCATGGCTACAGGAGGGCCAGCTGCCTTGTTTCCAGCCTGGACATACACAAAATGAGAGCAGAGGAATAAGAAAACGTCTCCTCTGAGAGGCTCAGATATCAGCCCTTGGACATCAGTGACCCCCTGCACGTGCTTCCTGCTTTGGACCTTTTAAAATCCCATTTTGGGGGAGCTAACAATGACTCCGTTAGTTCACAATGTGGCATACTAGTCAAATGCCTGGGTTTCTAGTTATATCATCGTGATAAATAAAAATGTCACATTTTGCCAATCCAAAGATCTCTGCCTTCCTTGAGGCTGTTCATGATGCTTATAAAGAGCACTTTCATTTAAAATTATGCAAAAAAATCTTTTTTCTCTTGCAACTTTGACTGAATACCATAGTTTTTTTTTGTAACAGCCGACTCCTGGGCTCTAGAACATTCATTTATAGTTATGGATTTGGAAAAACCATTGCTTTCTCTACCAAAAGATGCCTGAGATGGTTTCTTCTCTGTCCAAGTGACAATTGAGGGTTCTGGTTTTTTGTTTTTTCAGTCATTGTATGGATGACTTCTATATATTGCTAACTTGAAACATCGGTGTTTTTTTAAATATGCAAAGTGGAAAGTTGAATATGAAGCTGCTTCTTCATTCCTTTTCTGTGCAGATCAATCCTGCTTTTTAAAAGATTTGTTTTTTCTAGTTATGTGTATGTGTGTCTGTGTATGTGCACATGAGTGCAGTACCCACAGAGGCCAGAAGAGGGTATCCAATCCCATGGCCCTGGAGTTACAGAAGGTTTGTGAGCCACCACGCGGGTGATGTGATCTGACCTCCAGGTCCTATACAAGAGTAGCAAGTGCTCTTAACCACCAAGCCATCTCTCCAGCCCTTCAATCCTGCTTTTTATTTTACTTTGAATAATACACTGTGTTGAGCATAAAGGACTTATATCCATACTGTGATGTTGCAGTCTCTCTACCCTCTACCCCCAGGAGATCTGCAAATAACAACAAGCAGACAATGAAAACAGATGCTTGTGACACAACTCTTCTCCAAATTGGTTAAACTTCATGTGGAAAATGATTTTAAAAAGAAAAAAAAAATCTCTCTTCTGGGTCTCCAGTGAGATCCCTGTCACCAAGATAGATAACAAAGTCCAATGGCAAGAAGAAGGAGACAAAGCATAAGAATATGTTGCTTAAACACCATCCCCAGCAACAAAGTTTAAAAAAAAAAATGACATCCTGCGTCGAGACCCAGCAATGTCAGGACGTGATGAGCCCCAGTGAACAAAACTCATAGGAACATCAAACATAATTCTTCTTTATGTGTTTCTGAAACAACCCCTCCCCCTCAAAAAATGTAAGGTCAAAAGAACAGGTGCGAGTCCAAATGTATATAAAAATAATGAGCCTCACTCCTGACAACTAAGGAAGCTACATTCAGTCATCTTCCGCCATGGAGATCCGAACTCAGGCCACGCGCAATGAGTGTCCACTGTGCTTTAAAAGGGCTAGGAATAGAAAAATCACCATCCGGAACATCCCTAATTACACACGGCCATTGGTCATGAGGTGACCAACAGTGTCTGTGGGGTCGTGTCTACTGCTAGGCTGCTGCCTCTGAATGCCTCCCATCCCTGGGAGCTACTGTTTTGTAGACATCACCCAGCTCTCCAGACGGCTGATACCCACTTAGAGAGGGATCCCTCCAGACCCCCTACCCTGACACTTTGTTGAGTCACCCCCTATTGCTGATCAGACTCACTGCTCCACCGTTCAGAAAACAGAAGGCATAAAGGTGAATACGAACTTAAGAAAGGACTTTACATCTGGTCCTGTAGTCTTTCCATATAGTCTCTGAAGTCCTGTGAGTCCCCCAGCCCCATATCCTGGCAGACCCACTTGATGCTGTCATCGCTGTCAAACAGGATGGAGTTGGTGTACGGGCCCCCATCCTCGGGGAGGATGGTGGTGTAGGAAGTAAACTTGACTCTCTTCCTCTTTGGGCCGGAGGAACCCATAGGTTCGTTTTTCAGCTCTTTCTCATACACATAGTCAGGAGGCCTAAGCAGCTGACTATGAAAAGTCTTCTGGGAATTGCCATTCAGCAGGAAGTTCCTCTCCTCGAACTGCAGGCCCCTGTCAATCATGGTTGTGCACTCCTCCGAGGGGAGAGTGATGTCCACGGGGTTCTCCAGAAGTTCTACCTCATTCCCAAGCCACACCCAGTCGTGGGAATGGGGGATGTTGCCTTGCTCACTTACTGCAAACCTTTTGTGTCTATACTTCCAAGCAAAGGCCACGCAGTTGATCAGGAAGACCAAGATGGCCAGACAGAAGACACAGAGCAGGGCGTACATGCCAATCTCCAAATCCGTTAACCCCCTGGAGGTCATCGTGAGGTCACCAGGGTTATTGGGTTCTGGTAACTTCCCTTGAGTGGGGAAGCTTGTGAAGGCATCTGCCCCACCTTTGAGTAGCTTTCCTCCCATAGGAGACTGTGGGGTTGTGCTTTTGTTGGTCCTGTCCTCGTGGCCAACTGGGGCGCCGTGTTGGGACCACTCCTGGGCTGCTCGCTCCTGGCTTCCCTCGCGCTCTATGGAGTTGCTGAGGTGGCCTTTGTATTCCCGGTTTATGCCTTCGATATCATTGCCACCTCCTTGGTGCCCGTGTATCCCAGGTTCAAATCTGACCTTGACGTTTCCTTTACCCACGGCGAGAGTACTCTTCCTCTTGTTCTTCTGACAAGATTCACTGATTGACATTTCCAGCTTGATTAGGGGACCCTGTCCTTCACCCTCAGCAACGACGATTGGCCATCTGGTCTGAAGGTTTGGCTGGACGGATACCACCATTTCGTCCAAGGAGGAAACGGTCATTGAGAAATCCTTGGGATCGTAAATGTCTAAAGGCGTCACTGAGCCATCGCTGAACAAAATCCAGGAACTGACGATGGCCTCCTAAGGAAAATGAAACCAGAGCACAGTATTATAACTGGGTTCCTTCAAACTTACAAACACGATTTCCTTTGGACATTACTGGCATCTGCAGATAGAGGTGAATTTCTGTATGTGACGGCCTCACCTCTTGTTATGTCCTGACCTTGTATCATTAATGTACTATAGTCCCATTGACATGAGGTGACAGGAATGTACTTTGATGGATACATTAAAGTGTAAATTAATTGACTGCATGCCTTCCCATGGAGTGTGACTTTGACCTTTGTGTAGATACTCGGGAAGATCAGGAGATTTATCTGAACCAATTCCAAAAGTAACTAATCAGGTTACCGTTCAAGATGATGTCACTTTGAACACCCTTTACCAGGAAGTCAGTGCTGACACAGCAAAACCTCACTTGGAGGAAGTTCTTGGTAAATGAGGTGGTGTGAGGCTGGCTGATTTAAATGGAACCATGCCCCTGTCTCCTTTATAAATGTTTTGTGCATGTTTAAAAACACGGGAGAGCTTTAGCATTGGCAACCCCTGCTATCAATAGGACAATCTGGTACAAATTAGCCACTCTTATTCAAGAAGCTGAAATGGAGTCTCCACGCCTCAAAAAAATCACCTTCTGTTTGGCAGGAGTGAGAACAGGGGAATCCCTTGATTATGGTCTAGTAGCAATCCACGCCTCGCCTAGATCAACCCACAGGAAAGCAAAGAACACCGGAAGATATAGCTAAGCCCTGAGTGTCATCCTCAGAGACAGAGAGAAACTGGATAAGAAGCAAAGAGAAGCCGGGTGGTGGTGGCACAAGCCTTTAATCCCAGCACTCGAAGGCAGAGGCAGGTAGATCTCTGTGAGTTCGAGGCCAGCCTGGTCTACAGAGCGAGATCCAGAACAGGCACCAAAACTACACAGAGAGACCCTGTCTCAAAAAACAGAAGAAGGAGGGGGGGAGGAGGAGGAGGAGGAGGAGAAGGAGAAGAAGGAGAAGAAGGAAAAGCAAGGAGATTCAAGAGCTGCCAGGCCTGGCTGTGACACTCTTCTAGCCTCCCATGCAAGGAGTCATTAACTGAGGGCAGGGCTAACTTCAGGCCCAGATCACGAGGCCCTGGGAGTCTCACCTGCTGTGGGGCTTGGAGCACATCCTGAGCAGCCACTGTAGAGACGATGGCCCTCTTGTCTGCCTTATGAGGCTGCAGGGAAAGGGACAGGCCAGCCACCAGTTGCACACCCAGCTCTGTGATGGTGACGCGGTCATCCAGGACAATAACTGTCTTCTCAGCCAGGATGGAGTCAGAAAGAGGTGAGAGGACCTGAGAAGGCAAGGTAGAAAGCTTGTGACTTTGCCCCCGTGGGACGCCCCCCCCCCTTAACTCCCAAGCAGATAGAGCCATCAGTGACCCGTCGAGTGTCCTGGTAAAGGGACACAGTGACAGATGTTTAAGCAGGTCTGTGGTTGTTCAATAGCACAGGCTGAAGGTGATTGAAAGGGGTGGCCTTGGTTCACATCTCTTGAATCCTACACGACAATGACTAGAATATATTTATATTCTAAGGAAAAAGAGAGTTGAGGTTAAGAATCCACACTGAACTTCTCTACCTTGGTGATAGGTATGAAAGAAGTGAGGCTTTTTCAACAGCTGTTAAGCGTTTTCTGAGCATGCTGGATTGGTGGTGCAGTATCCCGAGGAAGTGGCATTCAGCCCAGCTCTCTCTGTACATCCCTTCTAGTAGGCAGATGTTTATCACTGAGCACCAATGATTACCATATGGGCCACTGGGTCATCACTGGATAACCGAGTTCCAGTGGCATTTCCTATGCAGTTATCCCTCCTAATACACCTTCCGGTGTGCAGCTGGGGGTGGGGGCCAAATCCCAGAGCTAATGCCTGGCAGGTGGAATTATTTCTAGAATATTCCCCCGAAGACTTCCTGCCTTCACTCACCCCTGACACTTGTGGGGGGGAAAAAAGATGAAAACTCATTCTTTAGTGCCACACAACATAGCCACCCGAAAGCCAGATGGGGCTGAATCACACAGGGAATCCAGTGTGGTCACCAGAGCTCTTTGGAGTGGGGCGGGGGAGGCTGTGCTCCCAGCTAGTGACAGGAAGAAGTCAGGGACCCTCAGAGTCCCTACTGACAATGGGGGAACTCCATGAGAAGGAACACAGGGGGCCCCTGGATGACAGCAGCCAGGAGACAGGGGCTAGAAGCAGAAAGAGTGAAACTCTCCCAAGAAGGTGAGTGAGACCTGACTGACGCCAGCCTTGGGATGTCGTATAGAGCCCAGGCAAGCCCACCTTGTGTCCCAGCCTTTAGAGACATCACTGAGCACATGAGCGCCAGGCAAGGTGTGAATCTGTGGTGTCTATAAGTTGTAAACGTGTGGTGTCTTGTAAGGCAGAAATAGAAAACAAGCTGGGCGGTGGTGGCACACGCCTTTAATCCCAGCAGAGGAAGTTGGATCTTTGTTGAGTTCGAGGCCAACCTGGGCTACAGAGTGAGTTCCAGGAAAGGCACAAAGCTACACAGAGAAACCCTGTCTCGAAAAACAAAAACAAAACAAAAGAAAAAGAAAAAAGAAAAAGAAGAAGAAATAGAAAACAAATGCAGAATATAACATGCTTTGGCCAACTGCACCAAAAGTTAAACCTTGGAAGCACCTAAAACATGGCTTAACTATGATTGATATTTTAAATCAGTAAAAAAAAAAAAAGCTGCATAATGATCTTAGCAAAATTGGCAATAAAAATGTTTTGTTACGAGGTAATAGAGACCACTCCACTATGGTCCCCTCTTCATCTTATGAAAACTGTACTTTTTCAGTTTCATTTGGTCTCCTATTCTGGGTGTAACATGGACAATGGTTAAACAGTAAGGCTGGGGGGGGGCGGGGTTCAGCTTTTAGGAGGTTTACTACTGTCTACTCCACTACGCAAAAAAGTAAAGTGTTGTGGTTAGCAAGATGGCGCAGTGGGTGAGGGCACTTGCTCTGCCAACCTGGTGACCCGGGTCCAATTCTCAGAACCCACATAAAGGTGGGACAGAAGAGCCAACTCCACACAAGGTGTCCTCTGACCTCCAAAGACCCACACTCTGTGGCACACACCCCCATATACACACAATCCCAATATTAATAAGAAAATTAATTTTTTTTTAAAAAAAATCTAAAAGCTCTCATCTCGAAGAAGGTAATTTCTGATACTGTATCTTTAATTTAGCTTTCTCTAATGAAGGAGATATTTTTCTATGCTCTAAAATGCAAGAGAATTTTTTTAATTTAAAATAACTTCTTGATCATTTCAGGCAATATATTTTGATCAGATTCACTCTCTCCCCATCCTCCCAGATCCACCCTCTTCCCCACTCAATCCAACTTTATGTCCTCTTTATTGGTTTAAAAAAAAATCTAAGTTTGATTTGTAGTGGCTGTAAATCGCTGGGTAGGTGATCTCCACTGGAGTGTGACTGAGCTACCAGGGGCCACATGCTTAGAGAAAATAGACTCTCTCTCCTTCCGGCAGCCATCAAGGGTCCATAGCTTCTCAGCTAGGGCTTGGACCTCAAGCCTGCCCACCTGCTCCATGCTGGGATTCCGTCTGGCTTGAGTTTGCACAGGTCTTGTGCATGCTCTCTAATCACTGTGAGGTCATACGTGCATTAGCCCTGTCATGTTGGGGAAATACTGCTTCCTTGCCCATGCTCTCTGAGCTTGGGGCTATAAAACTGGTGAACTGACTCAACTGCACACAGGTTAAACATGTATAAGTTGATGCACGCTGGTGTGTGATGTGCACACACACACGATGCATGCACAGAACTGTATGACTTCAGTTAACTGGGGAACCACGGATGTTAGGGAGAAAGTGACAAAGACCCCCCCCCCACACACACACACACCCCACCCCACGATACCTGCACAGTAGTGATGCCCGGCTCCCGCCCTGCCAGGATCCTGCCATCCTGTAACTCGGCAATTTTCGGTTCCTCCACCTTCACAAACTCGGTCACAAGGTCGGTGATGTCAAACTGCCAGTCGGGGCCCAGCATGTAGGTCAGCTGACCCAGGTCAGGTGACTCAGTTACAAACTGAGTGAGAACCCGCACTAGGGCATGCTGGTACTGCAGAGTGCATCCTCGCCCTTTCTTCTCCTCATCTTCCTCATCATCACTCTCCCGGGTGGGCCTGCAGCACAAACAGAGCAAAATGAAATCAAGCCTCCTCCTTAGCGGGGACACCTTGCCTGCCCTTGACTCGGCCTAGGTCTCCTCATCCACTGATCCATCCACTCATCCATCAAACAAATGAATTCATCCATTCATTTATCTCTCTCTTCCTCCTCCCCTCCTTCCATTTTCTCCTGACCCCTAATTCTCGACAGCTCGCCCAGAGAAATCTTCTGTCTCTTCAATTCTAGAGCCTTCCCTTTGAGAAGCACTTGCCCTGTGACCTCCCAGGGGAGGGTTGTGCTGGCTGCTGGCTGCTGGCTGCTCTGTGGATGGAGACCCTGCCAGGAAGCGCAGAGCAGCAACCACAACCCCTGACATGCAGATTCAGACAGACCACAGCCTGTTCTCCCAGAGTGACTGCTGACATCCCTGTGCATTGAGTTAGACTACCATGATCAATGCCTCCCATGAGAGACAGACAGACAGACATCACAGTGGCCACACATACTTAGCTCCTTCAACCTTCCCAGAACCTGGAGACTGAGGGTTAACTCTTGTCCTAATCTTACTGATAAGCAAACCAAGGTGGAGAGATCAGAGGCTCTTAATCACGGCCAGAAACTGGTCATCTGCAGAGGCGAGGCTAAGGCCAAGCGACCTTCCCCTACGCGTGCCCTCTCCTTTTCTAGGTCCATTCCATCCCTCCTCACAGTGGCTATGGACAAACCAAGCTTCACAGCACTCACCAAGTGGGCCCAGGCAACTGCTAACTACAGATCTGAACCCAACTGCCTTTGATTTCTGAAACAATTTGCTGTCCCCTTAAGGTCTGAGAACAATATAGGAAAGTATATATTAAAAAAAACAAAAACTCTACAGAATTGCGTTAGAGCAATTCTAGGTCCCCCAAAGATGTGGCAAGTTACCTTTACTGATAAGAAAAAAGATGGTTTTGGGGGGACAAAAGGATGTAGCATTAAAACACAGAGAGGCATACTTGCTATGATGGAATGTGAAATGTCCTGCACAGGCTTGTGTGTCTGAATACTTTGTCCTGAGCAGGTTTGGGAGGTTGTGGAGCCCCAGAACCTAGCTGGAGGAAGCAAGGTCCCAGAGGACAAGCCTTAATGTTTCCAGCACATCCTCACTGTCTGTCCCCACTGCTTCCTGACTTCCCTTGCTGTGAACAAGCAGCCCCCTGCTGCCGCTGTCATGCCTTCCACAGTGTGAATGAAAACAACCCTTTCCTCACCAGGTTGCTTCCATCATATAGTTGGTATAACAACAAAAAAAGGAACTAACACTGGGGCAGTGGTGGCGCCCACCTTTAATCCCAGCACTCGGGATGCAGGGCCAGGCAGATCTCTGTGAGTTTGAGGCCAGCCTGGGCTACAGAGTGAGTTCCAGGAAAGGTGCAAAACTACACAGAGAGACCGTCTCAAAAAAGAAAGAAAGAAAAAGAGAGAAAGAGAGAAAGAGAGAAAGAAAGAAAGAAAGAAAGAAAGAAAGAAAGAAAGAAAGAAAGAAAGAAAGAAAGAAAGAAAGAAAGAAAGAAAGAAAGAAAAGCAACTAACAAGTGATTTAAAAAAAAAAACCTTATCTTTTTATTTTCAGTCTTTCAGAATACATCCCAGAGACAGTATCTGTTTGGTACATGCATGCTACCCAGGATTTCCAGACACATGCTGCTCTCCCTTAGAGAAGAAACCCACACAGCCCCCCAAACAACATCAGCAGCATTCAGTAACATGTCCACACTTTCTTTGGACTGCCTTTTAGATTAGATGTGTTTTATCACAAATGATAGTGCTCAGTAATCTGTGCTAGTGATATGAATTAACTAAATAGACAGAATGGAAAGGATATCTTAAACAAGTCAGAGGCACACTACGATGGTCTGTGTTAATCAGCTGACATGTTTAAGATCTCTCTTTTGTCTTTAAATCTCTGACATGTTTCAGATCTCTCTTCTGTCTTTAAATCTCAGAATTGTCACTGTGATATGCTGTCATGCAGATTTCTTAGGTCTGTCCCATTGGTGGTTTCCATGGATGTTTGCTTCTGTAGACTTACGTATTTTGTCAGATTTCATGCGCTCTCAGCCCCACATTCATTGTCCTTTCCCTAGATTCTGGGTCCAGGCATTTCAGACATCTTGTCACTGTCCCACACGTCCCTCATATTCTGCCTAGCTGAGTTTGGGTGTTATTTAGACCAATTTGTATCTTCCATCCCTCAGTCCATTGGCCTTATTCTGCTATCCTTCCTGTGCCTACCCACTGGGGGTTTTCTCCAGTTTCTTCTCCTCGCTGAGACTACCTATATTCTCAATGTTGCTTAGACTACTTACGATACCCTCCAGGTAACAAGTGATTTCAATATTACAATCCACACATTTTGTATATTATGATTTTTTAAAAAAAAGACAAAAAAAATGCTGATGCTACCAGTTTCTGCTTCAGTTAAATCTACTCTGGTTTGGCACACAGGCTCTGGTTTCAATGGTGTTTTGGAGTTCAGAGGCCATCAATGGTGTTCTGGTCTCAGTGGTGCTCCCCTGATATCCTGGCTCCCAATCCGGCCCTGCTGATTTTTCTCCAGGGGTAACGTGTACCTCCTTGTTCAAGGGGACAGGAGGAAGGTGTCAATCACACAGGCGGTGTCACTTTGTTGTGCTTCGTGTCTCAGAGGAACTTGGGAGTCCAGTGCTGGGCCTTTGTGGTACCCTGAGTCTATGTTTCAAAGCACGTCTGAGTTTTCCCATCACTCATCATCTGGAAAAGTCGATTTGTTTCAACACCGTTGGTTTAACAGCCCTTGACTCTGTTTACCTCTCCTCTCTCATTTAACTGTAAAATCAAAAAGAATCCGAGGCACACGTTCAACACTTTGCCCGGAAATCTCAGCTCCACAGCCAGCTTTCCATATAACTGCAGGGCACGGCACGCTGGCATTCTGCAGCGGTCAAATGAGGATCCGTGTTCCCCACACTCTCTCACACACTCTCACCAGTGGTATTTTCCAAGTTCCCTCTTACTCAGGGTGATTTCTATTTCCAACCAGGTGATGGGAGCTTTCCCACAATGCTCCATGCAGTCAGGCTCACTGTCAACACCTTCACCACCCATGAGTCTACAAAAAGTCTGCCAAAGGCCACTACACTCCTCCAGATACTTCCACTCTCCGCCCACTGTCTGCTTCCAAAGACTCCCTTCCCTGAGGTGTTACAGCTGCACTCCAAAAGTGGGTAACAATATCTGGGTTACTTTTTTTTCCTTTGTGGTGTAACAAAATGTCCACAAACCTCACAGTTTAAAAAACACCGTTCATTGGCTTGCTTGCAGTTCTGTGAGTCATGGTCCAACCAGGCTCCAATGGGAAGTTCTGCATAGAGACGAGGAAGCTGAAATCAAGATGTCAGCCGGGCCCTCGCCTGAAGCCGTTGGGGGAAGAACTGACATCCAGACAGTCAGGTTGGTTAAGGGGTTGGGAGTGATCAGTTTCTACAGTTAGACTGGGTGCCTAGTGGTCTGTGTTCATCATGAAGGGTTACTGGATCCTAAAGGCTCCATCCACTTTCCATGGTGCATGAGTCAACCCATCTTCAAAGCCAACATCACTCTGTCAAGTGGTCCTCACCCTCAGACTTCTCCAACGCCCTCCTACCACCAGCTGGAAGGGATGCTCTGGTTTTGAGGGCCCCATCTGATGGGTCTGACCCTCCTGGATCGTCTCCACATCCTAAGATAGATGGGTGGCTGGCTGTCACTGCATCCATGAAGTCTCCTTGGCACGGCACCAGATCAACGCTTGACTGGATTTTTTGTTTCATCTCTGTTGCTGCGATAAAATACCCTGAGGATAAGCAACTTTTGGGAGAAAGGGTTGATTTTTGTCTCATGGTTCCAGAGGGATCCAGTCCATCATGGTGAGGAAGACATGGCCACAAGAGCTAAAAAGGAAAACGACTGACCAGACTGTACACATACTCAGGAAGCAGACAAGAGTAAGAACAGAAAGTAAGGTGCATTCTCAAAGCCCTGCCTCCAGTGAGATACTTTCCTTCAGAAAGACTCTGCCTCCTAAAGGTTCCATAAACTTCCAAACAGCGCCACCTGCTGGAGACCTCGTGTTCAAACACATGAGCCTGTGGAGGACAGTCTCGTTCAAACAGCTACACCTGAATGAGCAGCAGATGGGGGTCCTCGAGAGGAGGTTGACTTTAGGGCCTCCCCCTGCAGCACACATCATTTCACTGGACTCTTCAGATTTCTTTTAATACTGCTGCTCCCAACTTAGAGTTGAGGGAACTGGAGAATATGTAGTGGAAGTCGCCAGGTCACAGGGCTGTACATGGGAGGAACCAAGGTTAAAACTCAGGTAGTCTCATCTCCAGCCATGCGGACTTCACCACATGACACCTCACTCCATGTGTGATGACTGACAGTGAGGAATGGGAGGATGAGTGATGAAGGAACAGACAGTCACGTGACAGGCAGTGGGAAGTAGTTATGTTCCCAATGCCAGGCTTTGTGTAGGTGCCTCTTAGAATCTCATATCACCTTCTCCTGCATCCTAGAAACTGCTCCGTGAAACTACCCATAGCATCGCTGATATTGCTACTATTGTCTTTGATGTAATTTCCTCATGTCCAATGGCTAGTAATCCTCCAAGTCAGAGCCACAGCAACCTGAGTCCAGAGCACTGCCATGCACTGCTGGAAGCCAAACCCAGCCCGCCCACGGCAACACACCTCAGATGTTGCCTCCCACAGACACCTGGGCCCCAGCAGCCTCCCACCCACAGCCTGCCTCCTGTTCCTCACCTCCTGTTGGCGGCCACCGGGATCCTCCAGCCCTTGATCTGGCTCAGCTCCGTGTCTGAGATCTCTATCTGCAGCGGCAGGCGGGGCACCCAGACGGTGATCTCCACCTGGGAGGTGAAGTGCTGGTGGGTGAAGTTCACGATGGTACCCACTTTACTCTTCATCTCCTTCCCATTCACAAAGATAGAATCACAGGTGTTGGAGACCTGGGGGGTGAGAGGGGGGAGGGAGAGCGAGAACATGGAGACGCATCAGCAAGAGACACACCACGCCAGCAGAAGTTCATGGGCCTCGACAGCTCTGATTTATAAGGCACCCGAAGAGCAGGACGGGTACAAAGAGTAATTTGTAGGCACTAATTAGTGACAAATAGCTGATAGATAGACTCCAAGAAAGCCGTTTTGTGTTACAAAATACTGACAAGTTAAACCATAAACATAATTTAACGGGGTTGTGAAACCTCAGCTGCCTTTTGGGAGTGCGCTGTTTTCTTTATCTTACCTTTTCTTATGGGCGCAAACCACCACTAATCAAGCCCCAGGTGTATCTTATTCCACTCTTATACCACATTTGAAGATGCATAAAAGGTGTTCATGTTATAAAGAAAATGCTTTGTTCCGTCCATAAAGCGAAGCCACTGAAGAAAAAAAAAATCAAGACGGTTCTACCCTAAATTAAAATCCTGGTAGGCTAAGTGCTCATGGAATGCACTAGAAACATGGATGGGATTAATCCTGCTAACACTAAACCTCAATTTCAGACACTGGAGAGAGGGAGGTGGCATCTCACAGTGGTCCCTTTCGCGGCACTTGGAGGCGCTCTACTTTGCCCACTGCTGGGGGGTCTTGGCTAGACACATCAGTCCCCTGTTTTCTTTCCCATCTCCTGGGCGAGAGCAAATAAAAAGCCGAGGTCTCATTCTCCATCAGGAAAGGGTCTTTGTGCGGAGTTCAAAGGGAAGGGACTGAGGAGTGAGGTCAAAGGTCAATTTTGAAGTGCCATCCATTCCTCAGGGACCATTCACTCACCTTGTGTTCTGTGGCAGGGTGTCTCATTACACTAGAGAGCTCACTGGCTTGGCGAGGCTGTCTAGCCATGGAGCCCCTGGCATCTTCCCATCTCTGCCTCCCCAGAGTTTGGCTCCCAAGCATAAGGCCACCATGTCTGGTTTTCTATATGGATGCTGAGGACTGAACGCAGGTCCTTGGTTTTAGGGGGTGAGCTCTTCACCAACTCCACCGTCTCCCCAGCCCCTCTATGTGCAAATTATGAATCTGTCCAAGGAATGATATCTAGGAACTTTAAAACTCAACTATAATAAAATCTGCCCCCAAATCCCCCTCCCAATCAGCTTGGGATAGATTTGCTGTTCAGAGTGGGAGGTCATGGAGAGAAGGGGACATCAGATGGCTAAGGGCTGGCCGAGAAGGAAAGGGGCTTCCGACCTGGCTTCAGTTACTCAGAGACCGAGATGATGGGAGGGTAGACATCGTGCGGCAGAACACACCTGAATATGAGCACTAAACCCCACTCTTACACAGAGCAGCTAAAGTACTGTAGTTCAAATAACCTAGTATATATTTTATGAGTATTTAAAAGAAGGGAACTTGCAGGCTCCAACCACAGGGCAATTATAGAAGATACAAATGGAGTTATTGGATTTATATTGGGGTATCCTACCCTACACACACACACACACACACACACACACACACACACACACACACACACACGACCATTATGTGTGAGTTATTTATTTATTTGGTTGGTTGGTTTTGTTTGTTTGTTTGTTTGTTTTGAGACAGAGTTTCTCAGTGTAGCTTTGGCTGTCCTAGAATTTGCTCTGTAGACCAGGCTGGCCTCAAACTCACAGAGATCCTCCAGCCTCTGCCTCCTGAGTGCTGGGATGAAAGACGTGTGCCACCACTGCCTGGTGTGAATTAATTTTTTAAACGTTTAAGGAGGTGGAAATGTTGGAAGCTCTCGTCTGACCATTGCACACTACACACAAGTGTGGAATCACCATACACTTGCCCACAAATCTATACAATTAAAAGAATGATATTCTTAAAAGACAGCAATGACAGTGGTGGCTGATGTCTCTCTTGACATTACAGTCCCAGTGAGGGGTTAAAACGGGGCCTGTTCTCCTAATTTCCCAACTTTAGAAAGAAGAATACTCTTTCTAGCCTTGCTTTTTTAAAAGGGAGAAATGCAACAATGAGCCAAGAAAGCTGTCCGTCTTTCAAGGCATGTGGGAGGGACTTAAGCATGTGCTGTTATGCCCAGAATCATGAAAAGAACAATTGGAACGCAGCTCCTACTCAGGGCAGGACATAGGACAGAAGGCTGAGCTCTTATATTCCATAGTACCCATGGTGCTAACCTGACTCCCATTCATTAGATTCTCAGGGAGGAATTAAAGCCTGTCACGAAAAGCCCTCCCCTTCTGTATGAGCACTGAGCTGGGAGAAGCTGAGTTCCAAGAGGTCATGACCTGCCCTGGACTCTGCTCACTCTACCCCTAGAGAACAGGGCCTGAAGCCAAGGCAAAGCCAACACAGAGATTTTAACTGTCACCTTCCTCCTGCCTCAAAGACTGGTCACCCATTTCCAGAACTTTCTCAATATGCCTTCCTAGAATTCAGCTCTCCTGTGCTTGTGATCACTGACCTTCCTTGTCGGCCCACACCAAATCCCACCTCAAATCACTCTGACTGCATGCAAAAGTCAGGGACATGTTGGCTCTGGGAACTTCCATCTTAAGAATGTAAATCACAGCCAGGTGGCGGTGGTGCATGCCTTTAATCCCAGCACTCCAGAGGCAGAGCCAAGTGGATCTCTGTGAGTTCAAGGCCAGCCTGGGCTACAGAGTGAGTTCCAGGAAAGGCGCAAAACTACACAGAGAAACCCTGACTCGGAAAACAAAACAAACAAACAAAGAACATAAATCACTTGGCTAAGGAGATGGGTCAGTCAGGAAAGCATTTGTCTTACAAAGACGAAGACCCAAGATCTATGCCCAGAATTTACAGCTTACAACATAGAAAAAAAAAAAAAAAAGATAGGCTAGAGAGATGACTCCATGGTTAAGAGCTCTGGCTGTTCTTCCAGAGGACTCAGGTTAAGTTCAAAGCACCCATGGGGAGGCTCATAACCATCTGTAATCCAAGTACAGGAAATCTGACACCTTCTTCTGGCCTCCACGGGCACTGCACACACATGGTGCACATATTTGCATGAGGGCAAAATATACACATTAAATTAAATATAAATAAGAGTGATAGCATATACTCCTAATCCCAGAGCTGTGGAGAGAGAGAAAGGTGAATTCCTGGGGCTTGCTGGCCAGCCAGACTAGCCTACTTGGCAAGTTCCAGGCCAGTGAGGGATTCCGTCTCGGAATAGGGTTGGGGAAGAACAGGATGGCTCAGCCAGGAAAAGGTAACTGCTGCCACACTGAGCACCCGTATTCACCTTGCAATGGCAAACACTCTCAAAATGCCCTTGGTGGTTTTGCTGGGACACATACTCACTACTCTGTCCCCAGCACAACACAGGATGCGGAGGATTATTAAGGTGTGATTATGTCACAGCTGTTGCTCCTGGCATCCCTTCCATCTAGAATGTCATAATGCATGCCTACCTAAGAAGGGATGGGCGGGTGAGTCAGCAAGGCTCTCCAGCTAAGGCATAAGGAAATGTGAAAGTTAGGCTGGGCAGTCAGCTCAGGCCTACAGTGCTTGTTACACAAGTGTGAGGAAGTGAGTTTAACACAGAAACCACACTTAAAAATATAGAATAAAATAATAGAAGCATTGTGGCACATGCCGGTAACCCCAGTATGGAGAAGGTGGAGACAGGGGGAATCTGAGAGCCAAGTCTAGCCTCCTTGTCAAGTTCCAGGCCAATGAAAGACCTTGTCTCAAAAACAAGTTGGACAGCACCTGAGGAATGATGGGCATGCACCTGCACACACCTATACTCAACCTTATACACACACACACATGCATACACACACACACATACACACGCATGCACACACATACACATACACACCCATGCATGCACACACACACACACACACCCATGCACGCACGCGCACACACACACACACACACACACATATTATAAAAATAAATGAAATTCATTCCATATATCGTGGGTGGAAACAGATCAGGAAAGGACACAGGGCTCAAAGCATGGGGACTCAAAGCTGATGAACATGTATGACCTTGGAATTAATTCCAGTACTCAGTATGACCCTCTGACTAGGAACTGAGATTACAACGTGGAATAAGTACCTGTTAGGTAGAAAAGATACGGCAGTGTAAAATCCAAGTTCCCACTCCCATCATTCATCTATCTTTAAAAAAAAAAAAAGTATTATGTGTATGGGTGTTTTGACTGCATGTATAGGGGTGCACCATGTGGGTGCAGTGCCTGCAGAGGCCAGAAGAGGGCATCAGATCCCCTGGAACTGGAGTTACAGATGGTTGTGAGCTGCCACGTGGGTGCTAGGAGCTGAACTCAGGTCCTCTGCAGAGCAGCAAGTGCTCCTAACTGCTCAGCCGACTTTCCAGCCCCCATCATTCATCTAAATGACACCTTCAGGGCCCTCCGAGCCCCAAGAGGAGCATAGAAAACCAAGTGCTATCTATCCTCATATAAGAAGAGCAGAGGCCAGGAGCATGGAGATCAGAAAAAGACTGAGCTCCGTCATGTTCATCTTCCAGTGTGTTAAAACAGCTTATGAAATGTCATCTTGGGAAAGCTGCCTTTAGAGGTTAATATGTTACTGTTGAGTTATTACACTTCTGCAACTCCATTATCTCAGGATGAAAGACACAAAAGGGAGCCTTGAGACATGGGGATGGCTCCTCGGGGGATCTTGGGAGTCGCTCATTCCATTCTCCATTCAGAACAGCAGCGGGAAGGATGCGGGCTAAAACTACCATCCTGCATCAAGCCTGCTATTGGCCCATGAGGCCGTGAACAGGAAAGGGGCGGTAGGCGGTCTGCTGGGACCTTTCCCAGCCCGAAGGCTGTGCCTACACTACAGAGTCAGAGAGAGCACAGCACTTCTTACAAATATTCACAGGGAAAAAAAAAAATCCAGAGACTCCAGATTTAAACAGGCAGAGGGCCCGTTGTCATGGGAGCCAAACACTTTGTGGGTCTTACTGCATGTCGCAAAATCCGCTAA